GCTCAAGTTTTTTTTATCTACACACAAGCAGCCACACAAAAGCTTTGCCTCGATAGAATGGTCTAAATTTAGCAAAAGTACTATTTAAATCAAAGAATACATCATACAAGTATGAATTATGAACATGTAATAAAGTTTTAAGAAATGACGTTGGACACCCGACCCTAAAGCTGAAAACCTCACTGTCAGAAGACATGTTCCGATACATTTTTTCCTTCTCGATACCGAGAACCGATTCAATACCAGTGCCCTAATATATGTGATTTTTCTATAAATACAGTACAGTTCACTTTTTCCACATTTTGTTATGTTACAGCCTTATTCCAAAAAGGATTAAATTAATTTTTTTCCTCACAATTCTACACACAATACCCCATAATGACAAAGTGAAAAAGGTTTGTTTAAAATGTTTGCAAATCGATTAAGAATAAGGAACGAAAATATAACGCGTACATTAGTATTCACAGCCTTTGTTGAAGCAGCTTTGGCAGCAATTACAGCCTTAAGTCTTTTTGAGTATGATGCTACAAGCTTGACACAACTATTTTTGGGCCGTTTCTCCCATTCTTCTTTGCAGGACCTCTCAGGATCCATCAGGTTGGATGGGGAGCGTCAGTGCACAGCCATTTTCAGATCTCTCCAGAGATGTTCAATCAGCTTCAAGTCAGGGCTCTGGCTGGGCCACTCAAGGACATTCACAGAGTTGTCCCGAAGCCACTCCTTTGTTATCTTGGCTGTGTGCTTAGGGTCGTTGTCCTGTTGGAAGATGAACCTTCACCCCAGTCTGAGATCCAGAGCGCTGTGGAGCAGGTTTTCATCAAGGATGTCTCTGTACATTGCTGTATTCATCTTTCCCTCAATCCTGACTAGTCTCCCAGTTCCTGCCACTGAAGAACATCCCCACAGCATGATGCTGCCACCACCATGCTTCACTGTAGGGATGGTATTGGCCAGGTGATGAGCAGTGCCTGGTTTACACCAGAATTGATGCTTGGCATTCAGGCCAAAGAGTTCAATCTTTGTTTCATCAGACCAGAGAATTTTGTTTCTCATGGTCTGAGAGTCCTTCAGGTGCCTTTTGGCAAACTCCAGGCGGGCTGTCATGTGCCTTTTACTGGAGGAGTGGCTTCCATCTGGCCACTCTATCATACAGGCCTGATTGGTGGAATGCTGCAGAGATGGTTGTCATTCTGGAAGGTTCTCCTCTCTTCACAGAGCAACCCTGGAGCTCTTTCAGAGTGACCATCGGGTTCTTGGTCACCTCCCTGACTAAGGCCCTTCTCCCCCGATCGCTCAGTTTGGCCGGGCGGCCAACTCTAGGAAGAGTCCTGGTGGTTCCAAACTTCTTCCATTTACGGATGATTGAGGCTACTGGGCTCATTGGGACCTTCAATGCTGCAGACATTTTTCTGTACCCTTCCCCAGATCTGTGCCTCGATACAATCCTGTCTCGGAGGTCTACAGATAATTCCTTGGACTTCATGGCTTGGTTTGTGCTCTGACATGCACTGTCAACTGTGGGACCTGATATAGACAGGTGTGTGCCTTTCCAAATCATGTCCAATCAATTGAATCTACCACAGGTGGACTCCAATCAAGTTGTAGAAACATCTCAAGGATGATCAGTGGAAACAGGATGCACCTGAGCTCAAGTTTGAGTGGCATGGCAAAGGCTGTGAATATTTATGTACGTATGATTCTTTCATTTTTTATTTTTAGTAAATTTGCAAAACGTTAAGTTATCATTATGAGGTATTGTGTGTAGAATTTTGAGGAAAAAAATTAATTGAATCCATTTTGGAATAAGGCTGTAACATAACAAAATGTGGAAAAAGTAAAGCGCTGTGAATACTTTCCGGATGCACTGTACATAATCATAGCAGGTGCTTCGTGGGCATTTCGGATGGGGTTAAAGGTATCACAACTCTGGCATCCTTTCATCAACCCGAACTGACAAATCTGGTGATAAAACTGGTGCCAGACGTGCAATACGAAACTATTCTGCTTACAGCGATGACAACCAACGGACAGCACAAACACAGCAACATAACTGTCCAGAGTTGCAGCTCACTGCATGGGGGCTTCTGTTTTATTTAGTATGGCATCAAAGCACCTTAAACCTAACACATTGTTAGCAACGCCACAATTCTACAACCATGAGTCATGACAACACTGCAATAACAGAGAAAAACCTCAACTTTGTAAACACAACAATGGACGATCGGTCCTCCCTGGGTGCACCTCTTTGTGTCCTGGCTGGCCTCTGCAAGCTGTGTGTGTGCGCGTGTGTGTGATTGTGTATGCAGAAGAGGCTGGGTTTCAGAGCTGTCACTCCGGCCTGAAAACAACCATTCGGTTTCGGGGCCGCCACTGCAAGGGCCGACGCTCTCCGGCAGAGGCACACAGACGGAGCTACAAACAGAACCTGAATGTTTACCATCTGTGTGCGCGCGTGTGCGTTTGCCTGAATGCAAGCGAGCTAGTCTCTCCACTGTCTTGAATGAGACCTCCTCACACACTTGCAGACACAAAACAGACGCCCCTTTCCTGTTGTCTTTTATTTAAACAGACGCGCACGCGGAGACAATCTGGATTCTCGCTCTAAACATAAGTCTCCCTCAGGTCCTCTCCACAGCTTCCTGTTTGGGCCTCAGACGGTATATGCATTCGGCTGCCGCTCGGTACTCGGTCCAGCGGAGGAACCGCTGTCAAAACACACCGACATGCTGGGGAGTTCCTTAAGAGACCCTCGCTTAAGAGACCCTCGCTAGGGGGACCACACCCCGACAGCTATGGACTCGTCCCGACCCACATGCAGCCATCTTGGCTCTAAGAAAGCTCCACTGATAGAATGACTTAGGTTGAGCACAATGTGAGCAACTTGACACATTAGAGACAAATATAGAGGGCGAATGGAAGATTCAAGGCTCTGCCTTCATCTTAGCATCTGTTAAACAAGCCAAACTGTCACAGCTTTCTTTTAACAGAGAACAAGGACCATAAGCTCCATCAAGTAGGTAAGAAACAGTTCTTCCTGCAGGACAATCCCATTTGAAAAACGCCTGCAGGGTTTCTGTTGGTGACTGAGCTCTGAGAGGCAGATGAGAGGCGATGATGTCAGCCCTGAAAACCTGTCAGTGCCCACGCTCACAAAACATTCCACTGACTGAGTGACAACCAGCAATCACACACACACACACACACACACACACACTTTTGATTCATAGTGTTTTCTTTACAGTAATTTAAGCACCACAGCTGGGAAAAATAAAATACCCCAAAAATCCTCAAAAAATATCGTACACATGCACAAAAAATTGGACATCTGGAGGTGTCCGAATGTAAGTTTAACCCCAACTTCTGATGTCTACAAGTCACTCTGAAGCAGACGCTGATTGGTTTAATTCTCCATCACTTTTAGGAGCTTGGCAATAACGTGTGAGGGCAAAACTAGAAGAGCACAGAAGTCAAGACTGTGCAGCAGCCTGACGATCTAACTGCAGAGGATGAATTTAGGAGGTTAAAAATGGCTGCCAGTGCATCAAATGGTAATAGCAACAATGCTAATGATGGGAATAATCTCAATCAAGCTACTGGAGATGTTTAAAACAATGCCTACACCTAGAAACTTTAGCATGGTTTAGTAATACGTTATTGTAAACAGTGAGGCGGCAGTAGTGGGGCAACGCCAACAGTCATCATCACCCTTAAGTGTTTGGTTTTACAAGGCATGGAAGCCTTGTTCCATTAAAGCAAATGTGGCTTTAATGTCTGGTTCACAGATGCTTTTTACAGGCTTGCTCTGCACGGCGTTGCATGCGCGCAGGGTAGAACAGGAAGGAGACTTTCTGCAGCGTTTGCAGTGTCCACGTTATAACATCCTGTATTCAAACCCCCCTCCCCTCTGAAAAAGAAATACAAGGTGCAATTAGTGCATTCATGCAATGAGAAAAGTGATGTAGGTTGCTCCAGCATCACCCAGATAAAAGCCGGTTCTCTGCCTGCTTTTAACCACAGAGGACTTGTCATGTTACGATTTGCCTCTTCTGAATAAATCATAGGCAAAAAAAAAAAATCCACTCTATATAAAAGAGCATGTTACAAGCTGCATGCCTCCATTGGATAGGCGGGTTGAATATTTCATGATTAAACGGGCCATTATACTGGAAAGATCTAGGCCAAGGCCAAGGCCTCGGCTGAAGAAGGGGGGGGGCTCAGATAACGGTCCAAACCCCGTCCGGACAACACAAGGGAACAGAGCTCCGGTCCGAGGGGGCTCAGGGAGGGGCAAAGCCGTCTGGGTTAATCCACACAAAACACAGACAAAGAAAACAATCAGCAACTCCGCCGAGGAGTAGCATCGATTTCCAATTGAAACATCAGGCCTGAAATAAAGTCCAAGCGGAAATCAGCAGGATTTTCGTGGTCGGACAGTCTGCTCAGGACCCTGCAGCCACAGCACTGACAACTCGCTGTCCAACAGAGTCTGTGTGAAGTTTTAAAATGTACTTTTAAATGGAGAAGGTTGCAGTTGTAACATTTGCAGACAACTGGGGAAGATGCAGCTGAAACTGTGAATAAATCCGTTTTAGGTCACAGCCGACCAAGCAGCCCCCCCCCCCCCCCTTTAGCCCGGCTAACGTTAGCTCTTAGCAAATAAAGTTAGCCCAAGTTTGCTGTCAATAGGGTAGGACCGTTTCTTTTGCTGCAGCTAAAGTGTGCCTGGAAGCTAAGCAATGCAATGGTGTTTTGCATTCAACGTGTCTCCCCGTCAGAATTGCGGGACACCAGCTGACAGGCTAGCATTTAAGTACACTAATCCCGTGAGGCCTGCGCGTCCTCGGCATAAAGTTGAAGGCGAAATGCCAGATGGAGCATCTATTGTCGGTCAGTTGTGAGCGGCGGCCCGTCCCGTCCCCGTCTCCCTCCCTGCCTCCTGTTTACCCACGGCTAATAATACGCCGCTAAAGCTAGCAGGGCAGGCTAACTCAAGTACCCACCTCGCTTGTCGAGGTCGTAACCGACCACTAGATAGTAGTCGGCGAGCCTGGCCATCTTTGGAGCTCACGGCGACACGCCTTTCTCGCTAAATCCTCTTCTCTTTTTGCCTTCAATTGTCCATTTACGTCCTACCGGCGATAGACACATCACGGGCGACAGTAGCATCCTTCCAGCTGCACCCCGCCGCCATACTGTCAGTACGCCTTGCCCTGACAGCGGAGAGCCGCGAGTCTGCGCAGTAAGGGACCGCCAGGGAGGGGCTGCTCGGCAGGAATGTCCCATGTGAGAGGAGAAAAACCAGCTCAGGGGCCAAAAGTCTGACCAACACCTACAAGAAACACAACAGCACCGTCGCAAGAGGGGTTAAAGGTGTTAACGAATCTAGTGACACTGAATTGAAGGGGACCCACAACTAAATCATTGGGACTATTAGATTTTAAAACGAACATCCAAGAACAATATTATTTCATTATTCTTATTTCATATTATTATATTCTAGATTTGCTCCATACGCAACAGTCTCTCAGTGGACAACATACTGTTGATAACTAAAAAATAAGGATTATTCCTTAAATTCATTGCTTGTGAAAAGTCATGCTTTTGATAGTCCCTGAGCTTTGTATCTTTTTTTTTACCACTTAGGTCCCAGTTGATAAATAAAGATGGATGATTAATGTTAGAATGATGTTATCCCAAACGTGTGTAATTTGATGTGTGAATTTGACTATTTCACTATTTGGACCAAGGAAACCAACTGAACTTGGCACTTTGTTGAGGTGCAGTTTGAACCTTTTCTCTCTGTGGTTGCATAGAAGGCAGGTCCACCACAGGGGCCATTGCACGTCTTACCACAAACTGGATGGGATGGATGATCTGTTTTAGAGATGCTTTAGAGAAGGGACCTCTGAATCCACAGTTTTGTTTTGTTTGTTTAGTCGGAGGGTGAAGTAATGCATGATTGTTTGTAAGTGAGTACGATCTGATTATGTGGGGGGGAAGAATGGGGGGGGGGGGGGGGGTGGTGCGTCGG